GACATGAAGCCTGAACAGAGAAACTGATGATATTAAATGTGTCACAATAATATTAAATATAAATCATAAATTATTAAAATGGCATCGCAGCTCAGATGATTCTTGGAGGGTGAACATATAAAAACTCCAGATCTGGAAATAAGAAATTCCCAGAATTCAGCCTAAATTCTTGCCAGAACAAAGAACTGAACCGACTCCACTGCGTCAGAGGATGGATCGCTCTGCTGGACGGTCCAACATGCCGTGAACAGGTGAGTTTCAGCAGCGTACCTGTGCAGTTTGAAGGAGTTGGCGCAGTATCTGTGTGTGGTTTCCTTCTCCAGGTTACTGGGCAGGTTGACGATGGACAGCGCTCCAAACGGGCATTTCTACAAGAGAACATGGTGAGGAAAAACATGTAACCCTGTCAGGAACAAATACTCAGAACCTGGATGGACGTCTGATGTGTGACAGAAGGCTGGATGTAGAACCCGATGACTGACACGGGGTTATGGTCCTGCTGTCAAAAACCTGCTGGAGGTCGATGACTTCTGTGGTCTCACACTCGAAACCCCAAAACCTGCTGGCAGCTTTAAAATGACGCTCACTTCTAAAAAACTTTGCCAAAACTGCAGCTTTTACTGTCCAGAAAGAAGCATCAGACTTCCAGCTTTACACCAGTCCTCCAACTCAATATCATCAAAATGCCTTCATTACCTCCTCCAAGGAGGTCGTGTTGTAGCTGCTGTTTGTTAGCAACATAACTGGAAAAGTTCTGAACGGATTTTCACGACATTTTCAGGAAATGTTGATAACGGCACAATGACCAGATGACTACATTCTGGTGATGTTCTGGTTTACCGTCTGGTTATTACCTCATAAAACACTGAATGCTGTTAACTGTCACAGAATGCTGTCGTTGCGCCATTTGTCCACTAGATGGAGCTCTGACTGCATTCAGTCCTTCAGTCCTCACCGCTGTGTTCTCAGTAGTACAGAGGAAGCTACAGCCAGGCAGCACCACAGGAGTGGGCTGAGCGGAGCTCCTGACAGATACGTTCAGAACCACGTAGTGACCTTAACAATGACTCAGCATGTCTCCTGGTTCACATTAACAATGACTCAGCATGTCTCCTGGTCCACTTTGACTCTCTGCCATGAGTCAGGACGACTGACGCGTGCTGCATTGGTCGGTCATGCTTTTCATTTACCTTGCTAAAGTTGTGCTAACCTAGCTTAAGCTACTCCCTGTCTGTTTATGTTAGCAATAGCATCGCTGTAGTTATGCCAACCTAGCATAGCGTTAGCTAACAGCTTAAAGCCAGTCAGGAACTGCAGAAACAACGTCAGTGTACAAAATATCTGAGAGTCCAGAACGAGCGTCCATCACTCCGTCAGCCGGTTATTAATGATATCAACGCTAACTCAATGCTAAAGCTATGTTCTGATCCTCCATGAATCTAACAGTGTAGATAAATGAATCAGGACTTTAACATCAGCTGGAGATCCCAGCCTGGTGGAGATGAGCTGCTGGAGGAGCTCTGAGCTCTCAGAGGGCTTTAATAGTTAGACGTACTTCATTCAACAATTCACCCAAAATAAAGTGTTTGCACGAAACAAATTCAGTAAAAACTTTTAAAAGGTCTTCAGTACAGACAAAATAAATGATCACAGAAATGTTTGATTTCCTGGTCTCCATGGTTCTGAGTTCTCTCTCCTTCATGTTCTGGTTCTACAGAGCTGCAGGACTCGATGTTGCAGTGAAACATGAAGCACAGTGAAGGAACATGCGATGGGTGCTGCAGTGAGCTGCACGCTGTTCTCACCTTGATGCAGATGCCGCATCCTATACACAGAGACTCTGAGATCCAGGCGATCTTGCTCTGTGGAGTCACCTCGATGCACAGCTTACCTGCAACACAGCACAGGTGTTAATGCCAGTGTTGTCTCCACTGTGGGATCAGCTGTGCTCGCGTCCACACTCACCCATCCGGACCACTGGGCAGCTCTTCTTGCACTCCTGACGGCATTTCTTGGGTTTGCATTTGTCGTGGTTGACGATGGCGATCCTGGTGTTCTTATCCGCCATGATGGAGGGCCGGGATGACGGACGCTAGCACCTGTGGAGCTGAAAGAGCAGGTAGACGGAGGGTCAGCAGGGCCGAGCCATCGAGCATCTCTGCAGCGACACTGACAAGCAAAAGAAGCCGAACGCATCAGGACACGACTGTTCTGCTGCTTGACACAAACAGAAGACTCCTCTGGTCTGAGAGAGAAACGCTGAACTTCAGCTGTGAAGAACGAGTGAGATCAGGCTCTGCTTTGATCATTTAGGTTCTGGAAGACAAACATCAAATCCTGTCGTCCACAAGTATTCATTCTTCTTTTAACTCATCTGCTGACAACTCCTGCATTTTGCTGAGCTCACAAAAGTCTAAAACAAGAGCAGCTGAAGGCAGAGCGGCCAGACGAGCAGCACAAAGTCCAGCAGCGTGCTGCAGCAACACAAAGGTTCATGAGCTCAGCGTGTGAAAGAGAAGCTCAGAGCTGCTGCTGCTGAAGCACCACGATCACAACACACAGCGCTGCTCAGGCAGTAAAGAGCTGCAGGGAGCCCCGGCTACACCCGCATCTACACCACAAATACACCCGCATCTACACCACAAATACACCCACAGCTACACCACAACTAAACCCGCATCTACACCACAACTACACCCGCATCTACACCACAACTACACC